TAATGTCTAAATATGACAACAAACATTTTTGTTTTAAACTTTCATACAATAAAATTTATAATGCATGTGATTAATTATGTTTCTAATAAAATTAAATAATTTTTTTACTCTTTCCAATAATTAAATATAATTGTATGAATTTTTAAGTAGTATGTAGTTTTATTTTACCAAAACGGTACTTTTTCTCTATCAAAAATTTCGAGCTTATTTTAAAATATGCTTGATAGCTTCAAATTAAGAAACCTATCAAACAAGCGAAATAATCTTAGAGTATGTATTTTTAGATAAACATTTCTCATTAATAACTATTTGGAATTTTTAAAAATTATCTATTTAAAACAAATTAAGATATTTCAATGAATTATTATACAATTCTATATTTCAAAGGATCATTTTATAATTCTTTAAACTTTAAAATACTACAAATTTATTTTTAAATGATTTATTTTTACAAAATTAATATATATATATATATATATATATATATATATATTTATATACTGATGTCATACGCTTCAAGCTAATATTAATTTAGATGAGAAACCGAATTCATGAAAGTTTTTACGAAAATATCATTTAACACATAAATAATTGAAATTAAGTGATATTATGAATTTTAACTAAAATGATTATTGAAAAAAATATTTAAAAAAATTCAAGTATCAAAGCCTTGTTTTATATAACAACAGTTTTAAAATAAATAATCACAAAAATAGTTATATTTTTAAAATTCTTGTAATAGAGATTTATATTTTGAAATAGATTTGATTCATTACATATAAACTATGATGATAATCAATAATTTTAAATTTTAAAAAATTTAAAAGTTGATGATATTTCAAAATAAAATTTTATATTTAACTTACTAAAGCATCACACAACATTTACATTACAACTAAATGAAAAAAATATATAACATTAAATTATTTTAATTATAATTTAAAAATAATATCATCCATTTATATTAGTGGCACTATATGCTTGTTTTTAATAAGTATTTAAAACAACTGAATTTTTGATTAATTTAGTCATCAAAAAATCAAAACATTTATTAAACAATCATAAGTTAGGTAAGTTGTAAATTAGTTGCTTTTACTAAAATAAATATAAAATTCATAATATATATATATAAACAAATCTTAGAAATTATTCAATGTTCCAAATCAATAGCTATTAAAATCAACTGTTGTTTAAAAAAACAACCAACACAAATTTAAAGTTGAAGAAATTCAGATTTAACAAAATACCAAAATAGATTATAATATATAGTCTCTTAGTAAAAGTTAAAAATTATAAGTACAAGTAGGAGTCATTTAGAAAATTTATAAATAAAACCAAAGTTTGTTAATTACTTTCATTGATTAGACCTATTTAAGTTAAGAACTAAATATTTGTATCATAAGCAAGAAATATAAGTCAGGAAAAAAGACATCCAATATTTATTTTTTTTCTTATGTCTACTAAAAGATTGTTAAATAATATTTTTACAATCAAGTTGAGATAATTGTTTTAAAATTATTTTACAAAAAAATAATACAAAAATATATAGAATAAATAAATTTTATTAATACATATATTAATACATAATTTATAGCTATAAATCAGAGATGAATGTTGTCATTTTTTTTGGAACAAGTTATAATACTAAAATTAAGTCTAATGTACCACAATAAAAAAATAAAAAACCAAAAAATTTATATCATATATATATATATATATATATATATATATATATGTATAAATTAGGATTTATTATATACTATTTATAGTTAGTTGTAAGACTTTAATAATAATTAGATAACTAGGTTGTATTTTTATGTGGATATGGAACCTTCCCAATAGTTTAAAAGAGAAATTAATTACTATTATCCAAAGCATAGATTAATCCATATAAATATTCATTTATTTTATGAATTTTTGCCTCAATTAATTTTTTGAATAATGCTCATAAGTTTTACCTCTTTCTTTCTATGTATATACATCTAGAGAGAGAGATATAGAACTAATATGATATCAAAATAATTTTAATACTTGAAACTATCTCTCTATGTATATAGAAAGATAGATAGATAGAAATTATATGATATCAAAATAATTTTAATACTTGAAACTATCTCTCTATGTATATAGAAAGATAGATAGATAGAAATCATATGATATTGAAATAATTTTAATACATGAAACTAAATAGAAATTGACAAGATAGAGATATCATCTTTAATAAGGATTCAAGAAGAATTTTAGATATAAATTAGATTTTTTAAGTAACCTTTGATATGCCATGTAATAGAAGGAAATTATCTGAAACTAAATTTACACTTAAAAACTACAATAAAAAATATCCTACAACTTAGATACTTTGTATACAAACCTTTTGGTTTTTAGAAAGCATCCCATTAGCCTTCTTGTCAATCTATATACAGATATATGTAGATAGATAGTTATATATATATATATATATATAGTGTCATCAATATTATTAATACTCAAGTCTTAAATCAAAGTACTTTGATTTTTTACAGTTAACAACACTTTTTATAGTATCTTTGCTACACTATGAAAAAAAGATTTAAAAAAAAAGGCAAGTAGTATTTTCTTCTTTAATAATTACATGAGAATACTTATTTTATTTCTTTATTCGACTCAATTTTTTTATCAACAAGATTATAATATTTTAGGATATATATATATATATATATATATATATATATTTATAATAACATATAATATATTAATATATAAAATGTCTAAAGGATCCACCTATTTGGATATGGTGGACTTTGTTGGATTATTGCTTACAATTTATTTATTACTACATATATCTATATATATATATATATATATATTCAAGTTCATGATAACGAATAAACACTAATGCTATTCGGTGTAAAACTGCAGCACGAATAAAAGTTTGTCATCTCATCAAGATGCTTTGGTGAAAATACATAATTTTTATTGCAAGCTCAGTATTCAATGTTGTTGACGATTTTGATTGTAGATAAAATTCTAGTATGTTATTCTATAGATATGGTGGATTTCATTTTTTTAGTTTTAAGGTAAACTCAAATTAAAATAGATTATTTTTTAATTTTTTTTTATTTAGTTTCTTTAATTTTATATATATATATATACATATACTAATGACTTTTTAAAATTCAACAATTTAAATCTAAAAATATATATATGAATTATGCTGTGATGATTTCTGGGATTAAATTATTTCACATCTATTGAAAATATATGGGGCATTGCTGATGTAAGGTTAAATAGCAGTGGAAAAAAAATCTTGATGTAAATTGATCACCAATTTTTTTTATAAAATTATCCAACTCTTGTTTCAAGAATCCACCACAATACATTGTTTCTATTTACTATTATATTTTAATTTTCAAAATTATGTATCTTTCTTCAACCTGAAAAAAAGAAGTTTAGATTCTATTAGAGATTTAGATGTTTACAAGATAATTTCGTCTCTATGTAAATCAAACTTTTAACTTTTTATGTATAATATATGAATACAATCAAAAGGTTCTGTAAGAATGAAATAATTCACATATTTTGAAACACTTCAAATTGATCAAGAATAATCAATATTTGTGATATGAATTCAATTATTCAGTATACAATCATTTTTTAAAAGTAATTCGATTACATTGGACATGTGATTGACGTTTTTCAAATCTGAAATTCTAAAATCTTTAAAATTATATATTGAATAATTTGTGTTTCTTTTTGCATGTTTGCATCTATCCATAAAGTATGTCTGATAAATTTATTGTGATAAAGAATAATAAAATTTAATTAGAAAATTCTTTGATTTTATTAGATGTGTTTTATATTACCATTTTTTTTTCTTTTTCGGATTAATTCTCAACTAAATCAAGTCATATATATATATATATATATATATATATATATATATTTAGATATTATTTTCATTGTAATTAGATATATATATATATATATATATATATATATATGTCTACTTATAAGCGGACCTTATTAGTTTTATTTGAATGTTCAAATATTTTACTTAATCATACTAGCATAGATTATTGGGCTTTGCAGTATATGTTATTTTATGGGAGGATATGTTCTTTCATTTGAAATAAATATATGTATATATATTTTACTTCACTATTAGTTCAACTTTATTTTTAGTAATATATATATATATAAATATCTTTCAAATTTATGTATGTTTTCTTTAAAACTAATACTTTCAAAGTTCCTCATATTTGATTTATGATCAAAATACTTCAAATCAAGTACAAATAATAAATATCATAAAACTCAACAAGCCCAAACTTTTTTTTTTTTTTTTTTACCCTTATTAGTGTGAAATATACTCAACTTTTAATTTTGGTTGGACAATAAAATCTTACATGGTAAATGCTCCGTAATCAAGTTATAAATAATAGGTTGTTTGTCAAATCCAATATTTATACATGCACGTGTACATATTTACATAGAAAACGTATGTGATCGAAACCATAAAACCAAATGGATACAGAATTGGTTAGAATTTCCATGAAGCACTATTATATGGATTAATTGAAAAGTTTAAAAATAGACAATTAATCAATCACCTTTAAATGTATCACAAATGTGCATGGACAAAAAAAAAAAAAAAAAACAATGAAATGAATTTCATTTTAAAGTGATACAAGAATAAATTGAATTATTACAAGATTGAATATTTAAATATTCCTCCTAAATAAAACCTCAACACAATTCATTCACACAAGAGGCTATGGTCCAAAGCGACTCAAATTCCGCCACCTTTAAAGTTTTTCCATTTGGACGGACAGAACGAACAACGGACTTCAAAATATGGACGAGCTCAGATGATAACGAATAAGAGCGATCGGGTGTTCGAATCTCGTTGCCGACAACCTCAACGACGCGTGGGACTAGTGTAAACACAGAATATACTACGCAATCCGCGGGTCGGGTTGGGCCGGGCCGGGCGGGGGTTGCGTTTTGGCCGAGAGGGAAGCAGCGAAAACGGAAAGCAGAGAGACGTGCATGTGGAGGAGGGGCTTTAGTAAGGAGCGGGAAATTGCAGCGTAGTCGAAATCCTCATCGCCATAGCCACACTGTTAATCCTGGTCATCTTCCCATGTATTGTTCTGAAAGAATAGGGTTCGAGGGAGAAGCCTAATATTGCATTGAACGTCGTGAAGGGTTGAGCTCGCTGAAGGGGAAGCAATTTTTCGGGGGTCTCTAGGGTTTGCTTGTGTTGGAGCTCCCTTTCTCCATCAAGAAATGGCTTGGGCTTTATACCTATCTATCGGAAACTTCTTCCTTCGTTGGAGTTGAGTAATTACTTGGTTTTTGTATTTTTTGTATTTTGTTTTGTTAATTCTTTTAGTTTTTTTTGAGGTAAGGAGGATTTTATTTGCTGCCATGGCATTCGAGGGCAACACTTTGGAGGAGGATGTTGATTATGAGAACGATGACAACGCCGCTGGTCGAATCAACGTGGACGAGCTGGTGGATGAGGAGGAAGATTATGAGGAGGATCTGTATGGCGATGTTAATGTTGGCGCGAGCGGGGGGCAGCCATCTGGTAGAAATTCGCTGCAGAATGGATATGCGGAGATGGATTCTGGGAATGAGGACGAGGATGGACTAGGGGAACGGAAGGGTGAATTAGGAGGTCAAGCGCGGGACATGGGGTTGATGGGCATGAGGCCTGCTTCGGCGGTGCCGGCGCGGCCTCGAGAAGAGAGCTCCGGGTACCAACATGATTTTCTTCCGCAGGCGAAGGAAGAGAATTTTTATGGAGATCCCGAAGTAGGTCCATCGGGCCTGAAGCCTAAGGATGAGTTGGACCCGGGGATGGCGCTGGCTGTACGGCCTGCTTCTACGACGAAGGGTGGGAAGAGCACAAGGGGACTCAATGGGAGCGGTGGTGCTGAGGGAGGCGCTGGTCGGGGTTCGCGGCCCGAGGGTTTGCATCCGGGAGGTTGGCCAGCGGGCAGCGGTCCTGCAGGTCGGGGTCTTTTGCACTCTTGCTACCGCTTTAGGTCCTTTCCATGTCTTACACATTTAGTCTGCTAATTGATTTGCCGGAGCGCTTTTCCAGAGAGCTATCCGCATGTTAGTGTATATATTGGTTTCTAGGTCTGTGTGAGGATATAGGTTTCCTGACAGCGAATTTTTTGTAAGAAGTCTGTTCACATCTTTCTATTCAGCGTGAGATGTCTTGTATCTAGGCTCTTCAGTATCGGCTTGGATTAGTGCAGAAGTAGGTAGAAGGCAGTTCTCAGGTTCCAATTTGTGTACAGTTGTATCATATTTTGCAATAGAGGTTAAGTATTTTACAGCATTGTCTGCACGTTCATTGCATTCATTGATGTGAAAGGGTTCACTTCGTTTGTGCATAATCACCTGTTTCAGTGGTAAGCCGGTTTATCAACCTCTATCTACTTCGGTTCAAGTCATATTAAGTACGCAGGCCGAAGTCTAGTTCTGGGAGCTTCGTAAGCTTGATTTTGAGAACTCCTCGCATGTCTAATGCATGTGATATCTCTCTGAGTGTGGTTTTGGAGTAGTTGGGGATCTAGATTCTTTGTGACAGGCCTACAGAAAGCGAGCTTCGGTCTAGCCCAACATTGTATGAAATGAAGCACTGATGTTAACTTGGTTTGTGATTGAGTCTAGGAATATTTTCCAAACTACTATCCACGCAAGTTCTGTCTAGACGCTCTACACGTGCGAAGTTCGCTCAGTTTGTTAGAGCAAATATCCTATCACCAGCAGAGGAAAAATGCATGTACTGTTAGGTTTCTACATGATGTGCTGCGGGTAGTATTTGAATTATTTAAAATTTAAGTTTCGTTTCTTAGTATTCATACCGTTAATTCGATTCTCCTTTTCGGTTACTTTCAATTATATTTTCTCCACGTTCATTGGTTCGCTCACTAGTTCGAACTTTACAGTACGTCTGCTTCTGTCAAACAAAGTTTATAGTCTTCCTCTGCTCCTGCAAGTTATAGGAGACTGGGAGTTGTTTTATTAGTCCTAGGCATGTTATTGCAGTAGATATATCTCTCCGGTAATAATGAAGTGGATTTTAATTGCATTGCAGGTGGACAAGCTGGAAACGCTCCCACAGTTGCGAATAACAGCGGTACTGATTTCTCAGCCAAGCACACTGGGCAAGGTCCTGATAGCGGTGGGTTGATGCTGTTCGTTGGGGAATTGCAATGGTGGACTACTGATGCGGAACTAGAAGCTGCTCTTTCTGAATATGGTCGGATCAAAAACCTCAAGTTCTTTGAAGAAAAAGCCAGTGGTAAATCCAAAGGCTACTGTCAAGTGGAATTTTTTGACTCACAAGCTGCACGCCTGTGTAAAGAGAAAATGGACGGGCGAGTGTTCAATGGACGAGCATGTGTTGTGGCATTTGCCTCCCCACAGACAATCAAGCAGATGGGAGCAGCTCAAGTTGGGAAAAATCAAGCAAATCCTCAGGGACAAAGTCAGACTGGACAGGGCAAGAAGGCAGCAGAGGGGCGTAATGCAGGAGCTGCTGGACGAGGTGGTGAAGGACGAGGAGGAAGGGGCCAACCAGGTATGGAACGAGGAAGAGGAAATCAGGCACCCGGAAGAGGGCGCGGAAGAGGAATGGCTCCGTTTGGTCCACAAGGACCTGGCATGGGAGGTCCTCCGGGTGGTATGATGCCCCCTCGAGGAATGATGGGTCAAGGCTTCGAACCAGGTTTTGGGCCGCCTGGAGGTGGCTATGGCATGGGACCAGGAGGAGGTGGCTTTGGACCGCGAGGGCCAATGTTTGGACCATCATTCCCTCCTATGGGGCCTGGATTACCTGGTGTACCAGCTCATGTGAATCCAGCCTTCTTTGGCAGGGGCAATGCAAATGGTTCAGGTATGGGACCAGGTATGGAAGGGCCTCCTGGGGGTTGGGGAGAAGTGGGCATGCCAGGTTGGGATGAACATCAAAGACACATGCGGGATGGTGGTTATGCTGGGGAAGATATGGGAGGTGCTGAGTTTGGCTATGGGGGCGAGATGGGAAGGGTTGGTCCAACGAGGGAAAGAGAGAGAGGCGCCGGTGAAGGGGAATGGGGACCTGAAAGGAGGCGGAGGGAGGAGAGAAGTGGTGAGAGAGTGGAGGACTGGGAGAGGAGTGACAGGCATCGGATGGGTGAGAGGGATGGATATCGCGACCAGCGTGGGGATAGAAGCGAGCGTGAAAAGGATAAAGATTGGGACAGGGCAGACAGACCTTCTCGCGGTCCTCGAGATAAAGAGGACGAGCGGGCCCGTTCTCGAGAAGACGATCATGGAAAGCGCCGTCGCATGACCTCTGATGGAGATCGAAAATCTGAGAGATAGTGTATTGCAGCTGTCTAGATAGTGGAGTGAAATGGGAGGTTGGAAGTTTGGAAGTCGTACCGACCTCTAGTGCTGATAACTGAGAATGAACGGTCGCAGAGTGCCAGTACTTGGGGTTGCCAATCTCGCCACCCCCTACGAGAGACCCTTTGGATAGGTCGTGAGTCTTGTTTATTTATTTATTTATGTTTATTTTGTTTATCATCTATTTCTTTATTTTGTATTTCTTTATTTCGATCTTTTGTGAGAAACCTGAGCAACTCTATTCACGATCATCAGTGCTACCGCACTTTTTCAGTATGTTTACATGCATTCCAAGAAGCACCTGCAGGTCAGCCTTGTTCAGAGCTAGCTGTCCTTCCTGTCCCCAACTGCAACTTCCAGAGGACTACCTGGATACTTACCATTGTCCTTTTGGATGAAATGCTCATTTTGCGTACACTCTGCTTTTTTACATGGATGTTGTGCAGTCTCTTCTGAGTCTAAAAATGCAGCGACCATGTGTGCTATCATGGACTTCAGCAGCTTGAGCACATCCACTATCACTTACAGCCGAGTTCATAGGGGCCTACAGTCAGGTCGCTGTTCGTGACCAACTGTCAATGTGTAAGTATCTAGAGCGTTGCGCGTTTTTCTGTCCAGATGGCCGTTGAGGGTGTCAGAAAACTTAAATAGGGGATTATGAAGCTTTTGATCGCAGGATTGGGTGTCGTGGTTGGCAATATCCTTCACCCGCCTCTGAACGTGAAAGAGCTGGCAGTTATCGTAGAATTGGCTGAGCGCTCTGTGCACAAATGGCTGATCCAAAATTGAACTCTATTGCAGAGAAAAGCTTAAATCCTGATTTAGTGCCTGTACGGTGGAATTGAGACTTTGTGGCAGGGGATTTGATAACGATGTAAAAGTGCAGGGTCTTGTTTGGCTTTTTCAAAACTCCGTTTCGTGTCATGCCACAAACAATATGACAGGATATCATGGAAGCTTAAATGACAAATAAATGGATGAGAAAAAGAGTTGCTTTTATTTATTTTAGTAGTTTTACAGGACATCCCTCTCCAATTTTCTTTGAGTATGTTCCATGAATGGATGTCCATTCATTGGCGGGCTTTGGGCATTAACCAATGCCAATGGTAGAGGGCATTCTTGCTGCTCTCCAAGATATAATACCCTCCCTTGACTCTTCCTTCTATCTCAAATTGATTATACTCTCCTCTCCTATTATTTTTCTCTTCAATTTGCCCAATCTTTTTGTCTTATTAATGCTTTTTCTTTAATTTTTTAATTGTTTGTTGCTTCTTAACTTCTTGTTTCATTGTTGTTGTCTCTATTAGTTTTTGAGCTTTTTCTACTCTCTAAGTTCTTACTTTATTGTTTTATTTCTAATTTTCGAACTTTTGCTATTTTTCAAGACCTTACCCTAAACCTTTAGTAGTTTAAGTCCAGTCTTAAGTTTCGCAACTAGTTGCCGTCTCCTTATTTCTCTCAAGTTTCTGGCAAATTTATACATGTCATGATAGCAAAAATGCTAAATTAGACTAAACATCCAAAACCTTCAGAAATGAAATTTAATTCCAATATCTACAAATATTTAATTTTGATGCTAAGTAGTTTTTAATGTTATACTTTGAAATACCATATGTATATGTTATGTTATGTTTGGATTGCATGTTTGTGAGTCTAAATCCTAATATTAAAAAAATACACACACACACCTATATATATATATATATATATATATTTAAAATACCAAATACATATTTAGAAAAAGAATATATACATGTATAATTTTTTTCTTCTTATTTAATACATAATTTAAAAATATTTTTTAAAAAAATTATTTTATATATTTTAAAAAATTTCAGAATTATTTAAAGAATTATTTAAAGAATTATTAAAATAATTTGAATTAAAAATATTTTTTCTGAGTATATTTTAAACATACATACTCGTTGTTTGATAATTTTTATGTGTTTTACTTTTAGGACAACTAAAATTTAAGTATTACTTATATGAAATGACGGTTTTTAATATGTGATATAATAAAATATATTTTTCTTAGATTATTATAATATAATTTAAAAATAAAGATATTTGCAATTGATTATGAATTTTAAAATTATTTTTAAAACTATATACATCAAAATTAATTATATTTTTTTTCTTTATATATTATATAAAAAAATTGAAATTAAAAATAGAATAATAAAATAATAATTATTAATATTATTTTAGAAATTTATAATAAAAATTATTATATTATATATTTTAGATAGAAAATTCTTAAAATAATTATATTTATCTTTTTTTTATTTAAAGATGTTTTTATTTTCATTATTAATTATCATAAAATACATATATATATATATATATATATATATATATATATTTAAATATATTTCATAATTTACTTCAATTCCATAAACAATATATATTCATTTAAAAAAATCTTTAAAATAAAATAATAAAATTTAAGAAAAAAATAATTTTTATAATTTTTATATTAGAATATTTTATGATATTTATATAAAATTAATATTATAATAATATTAATTATATATGATAAATATAAATATTTAATTATTTTATGCTATATATATATATATATATATATATATATATTTATAGATAGATTTTGCTTAATTGATAATTTTGAAAGACGGAAATCTTATAAATTATGCAAGATTCATAATTTATGTAAGATCATGAAATTTCATGGTTCTTGAATGTTTTAAGCAATAAAGAAGTATGTAAGCAATATTGGGTGCATAAGTTATGTATCATAGCGGTGAGACAGTTTTTTTGTTTGTATTCTTGCACCTCTTTTATATCGTAATTGTTGATACATGTAGAAGTACCAAAGTGAATGAAGTGCTATTGTATGCAAGTATTTTTTATTTATTTATTGAGTTAGGACTAAGTTCTAATAAAAAAAATAAAATGGGCAAGAAGGTATGTTTGTAGTGGTAGTAAAAGAAGAGGCAAGAGGTTACTGATTTTGCAGCAATGTTGTTGTGTTATGTGAAATTTAGCTAAGAAATGCAATAGGCGTTTAGCTTTGGAAGGATTTCAACTAACCTTGAAGTTCTTCTTATAATCAAAAAGAATGTATGATATGTTTAGAAATACTTTTCTTAGCAATTATAACTCTTTAAAAATATTCAAGCCAAATAATTTTATTAATCAATCAATCAATTAGTCAATCAATGAATATTAATGCATGACCTTACTTAGGTAATTTTCAGAATTGTTTACATGTTCTTTACTCATCTTTAAGATATATAAGAGTATTTAAGTTTATAGATATGAATTTTATTAATATAATTTAAATTATTATTAATATTATCATTAGATAGTCTTATTTAAATAACTTAAGTTATCTTTATGGCCTCTATTTAGCTCTAAGATAGTTGAATATATTTCAAATTCATGGATATAGGCTCTACTAATGCCCTTTAAATTACTACCAATTTTAATCAAATATCAAAATATTCCCAAAAAAAATCTATAGAACTTTAAACATTCTTTATAAAAATCCTAAATAAATCCATTAATTCTTAACAAAATCTTAATTTAATCCTAAAAATCCTTGCCAAACCTTAACAAAATTCTAACCAAATCTCAACTAAATCTTAATCAATCTTATTTAAATTTTAATTAATACTAAAAAAAGCCTATTTAAATCTTAATAAATTCTAAGCAATTTGAATAAACCTAATAGCAAATCAAAATCCTAATAACTTCTTGATTGATTGTTGATTCCACTTAAGACTTTGCACAAACTTCAAGCTCTTAATTGATAATATGTACAAGATATTTGAGAATAATTTTGCTTAACAAGAGTGAAAAATAATAATTTTTTTTGCATGAAAGTTAGATGGCCTTTTTCCTTCAAATTCAATGTTGAGTTCTTACTTCTAATATCTATCTTTTAAATTATGAATTTGATTCCAAATTTTATATTATTTTTATAGTTTATGTTTTTTTAATAATATACCAATTTTTACTTTAATCAAACTATCATATTATTCAAAATCTTAAAAATCTTTAATTATTCTTTATTTTCTATCTTTTAGATAGGATAATCTACTTTAATTCTAATAATTCTTAATCCAACTATCCAATTGAATTTAAATTTATAAAATATCTATTGCAACTATTTATGTAAAATTAAAAAATTTCACTTTTATTTTTGTAATTAAACTTATAAAGTTCTTTTAAATAAAAATCTCACTTTATTTTATAAAAACTAAAGTCATCCAAATCTAATCCTCATTTTGCATAGCTCTCACAATATTATTTCTTTATCTTTTATTCATTATTTTTATATTAAAATTTTATTATATTTTATTAAAGTTATTTTTAGATTATTCATTTTTATATATTTTTATATTTAATAGCTATATTACAATACAACAATAGGTTAATTATTTTACATTGCAACTGACACAAATCACAACCACTTCTTCATTATCACCAATTTGAATTCTTCATCTTTGGCATCTTTCTTATTTTCTTTTTTTTTTGCCATACCTGCCTTCTTATTTTGTATATTGGCTTTTAAATACAAAGGTCTCTTTTAATGTTATTATTTATAATTCATTCAAAAAGCTTTCATCTTTTGTCTCCACTTTCAATTCATCTTCAAATATTCTTTGAAAAATTTATTAATTAGGTCTTAAAAAATAGACCACAAAAAGTTCTATAACATCCTATGAATAAATATTAAACAATATAAATATGATATATTTTGACTCCAATATTTTTTAGAAATTTTAAACTTGGTGAGGGCATAGAAATTTAAAGTCCAATGTGACAAGGTTTGATGGACCATATTTCATGATAATATTTCATATAAATTACTCATATTTACATTTTCTTTATTATGTAATAAATTTTGAATATTAATTTATTGAATTCTTTGAAAATACAAAGCACCTTTGAATGTCATAGTTCATTAGAGTTGCTTCTAATTGTTGAAGTTCAATATCCTCCAAAATTCTAGGCATAGTTTGAAATATAAAGTACCTTTTAAGTACCTCATGATCGTTTTGATGGTTGTCTAATAGATTGGTCCAGCCTTTAACATGTATTGATTTATAACACTTACATCATATATAAGATCCATCATTGTGTCAACCATTATGTACATAAATGAACTTACTACTGCCTTGTATAGAACACCTTGTATTTAACTTTCAACTTCAACAAACTCTTTATCTATGAACTTCATCAACTTTAAATTGGTCTCCAAAGATGTTCTAATGAGTTTACAATC